GTTCACAGCCTTTTTTCTCCTAAAATAATCTAAAGTACACACTTAAATATGATGGTTCTTCAGTGGTTCTTTAGATTCAAATCATCAGTGTTTTTGATTAGCAAGTTCACAGAATTTACTCCTACACTATTAAGACAACGGCTCTATACAGAACCACAAACACTCAAAGAAAAAAAGGGTTCTTCTGTTGCTACAAGCTTGACATCATAGCAATAGAAGAGCACTTTTGAGTGTTATATAGAACCATTTTCAGAAAGGTTCTATATAGAACCATCTACAACACGTTCTTCATCAAGAACCATATTTTTTAAGAGTGTTTTAACAATAGATCAATCCTTTTTGGTGCAATATAGAACCATTTTCAAAAAGGCTCCATATAGAACCATATATTCTCCATCAATCTAAAGAACGAGTTCATGATGCAAGGAACCCCTTAATCATGCAAGGAGTTCTTTGAGTGTTGATTCTACATTGAACCATTTTCTTTACCAAAGAACCCTTGAAGAACCATTTTTAAGAGTGTTGTAACAACAGAACAAACATTTCTGGTGCTATATAGAACCCTTTTCAAAAAGGCTCCATATAGAACCATATACAACACATTCTCCATCAAACTGAAGAACGCTTTCATGATGCAAAGAACTCTTTAATCATGCAAAGGGTTCTTTGAGTGTTCATAGTTCTGTATAGAATCATTTCTTTACTAAAGAACCCTTGAAGAACCTTATTTTTTTCTTTAATCATGCAAAGTGTTATTTGAGTGTTCATGATACAATATAGAACCATTTTCTTTACTAAAGAACCCCTGGAGAGCCATATTTTTAAGAGTGTTGTAACAACAGAACCCTTTTTGGTGCTATACAGAACGCTTTTCAAAAAGGCTCTCTAAAGAATCATTTACAGCACATTCTCCATCAATCTGAAGACGCTTTCATGATGCAAAGAACTCTTTAATCATGCGAAGGGTTCTCTGAGTGTGCATGGTACTGTGTAGAACCATTTTCTTTACTGTAGAACCCTTGAAGAGCTGTCTTTTTTGAGTGTGTAGGGGCTCAAATGAGCGCAGTGTTCTGTTAAATGATTTGGTACCCCTTTCTATGAACACTGTATCTGTACAGCTGCTTTCACACCTGCTGCGTTTAGTAAAGTCAACACCAGAGTCTGAGCTGAGTGAATAAAATGAGTACTCAGTCTTTCTACTGCATGTTTTTGTGGTTAGAATTCTTTTGCTGCTGCATGACGAGGTCTGAATCAGAAGAAGCCTGAACATTTGGCCAAACTGAACACATAATCAGGGAGTTAATTTTAGCTCTGGCCGCATCCCAAACCTTCCTCCTGCCTCCTCATCTCCTGTCTTTGCTGTTTTACTCAAAGTTCAGCAGGAAACTGGGCGAACTGGGAACAAAATTCAGGTTTTTGGACGACTTGCGTATGATGATCTATTCTCTGGTCACTTTAATGGAAACATTAAAAACACCTACTTTGTGTATTCACTCACTGGCCACTTTATTAGAAACACCTAGTTCGTGTATTCACTCACTGGCCACTTTGTTAGAAACACCTACCTTGTAATTCCAAACACTGGCCATTTTATTAGAAACACCTGCCTTGTAATTCCAATCATTGGCCGCTTCATTAGAAACACCCACCTGGTGCTTCCCCTCATTGGCCACTTTATTGGAAACACCCACCTGGTGCTTCCACTCACTGGCCATTTTATTGGAAACCCCCACCTTGTGCTTTCAATCACTGGCCACTTTATTGGAAACCCCCACCTGGTACGTCCACTCACTGGCCACTATACTGGAAACACACACCTGGTACTTCCACTCACTGGCCACTTTATTAGAAACACCCACCTTGTGCTTGCACTCACTGGCCACTTTATTGAAAACAACCACCTTAAGCTTCCTCTAACTGGCCACTTTACTGGAAACACCCACCTTGTGCTTCCACTCACTGGCCACTTTATTAGAAACACCCACCTTGTGCTTCCACTCACTGGCCACTTTATTAGAAACACCTACCTTTTAATTCCATTCATTGGCCACTTTATTAGAAACACCTACCTTGCGCTTGCACTCACTGGCCATTTTATTAGAAACACCTGCCTTGTAATTCCAATCATTGGCTGCTTTATTAGAAACACCTACCTTTTAATTCCATTCATTGGCCACTATATTAGAAACATCCACATTGAACTTCCACTCACTGGCCACTTTATTAGAAACACTTACCTTGTGCTTCCGTTCACTGGCCACTTTATTAGAAACACCTACCTTGTGCTTCCATTTACTGGCCACTTTATTAGAAACACCTACCCTGTGCTTCCGTTCACTGGCCATTTTATTACAAAGACCCACCTTGTAATTCCAATCACTGGCCACTTTATTAGAAACACCTGCCTTGTAATTCCAATCACTGGCCACTTTATTAGAAACACCTACCCTGTGCTTCCACTCACTGACTACTTTATTAGAAACACCCTCCTTGTGCATCCAATCACTGGCCACTTTATGAGAAACACCCACCTTGTGCTTCCACTCACTGGCCACTTTATTAGAAACACCCACCTCGTGCTTCCACTCACTGGCCACAATGGTAGCTATTAGGATTGTAAACCTCTGACCTCACAACATTTTTTTTTCTATTGAGATTCTCTGCATGAAAACAATGCAGTGAATCATGGAAATTCAGCAAAATTAGATTAAACTGAATTACAGATTTAAAAATAGCCAGAGGAATTTATATTGGCCTAAACAATTAGTGCATCGCTGCTGTTGGAAGGAAACCTTGCATCTCCATTGTTGTTGTTTTTCAGTTTTTGGCATAATTTGAAAATACCTGTTGATCTTTACATTCCAGGTAAATTTCATGATGAATGGAGAGAAACAGCCCACAATGATTGACCAAAAAGTCTGGTTCCACTGCCTTACAATAAAAGTAAAGTATGGTTTTTCCTTCTCCTGTAAAGTTACCATTTTGGAGATACAAGTTCCAACAACAGCGGCATACTTGAATTCATATAACTGTCACTGATTACTACTTAGCCAAACATACTGAAATCACTGCAACTGAGTTACCACTTTCAGACTGATGCATCAATGCATTTTCACACCTATTATTATTAATTTTCCCCATTGCTCAAAGCGCAGCCTCCACGCTCCAGCTGCTGCTCAGTTCAGCAAGAGTTCAGTGGAAGTACATTATAACCATAAACAACAAACACCCATCTATACATTCACAAACCACACATACACATGTAGTGATAAAGAGCTCAGCTGGATTCAGGAGCAGAGAGAGGAATGATAATATAGCTGAACTGAGATTAGAATTCACTGAGCCCTAAAAAACTATTATTTGTCAGTGAAGCAACACATTTGTGGAGATTATATAAAGTACCTTCATTACTGTTACTTAATTTCCAGTCAAAACAGCCATTAATGCATAATGAAGGAGAAACTCAAAGTAAGTTTCCAAAACTGGAGTTCAAAAACTGATTAAAAGCTCCAGAGAAAATGTGTCTCTTAACAACCACCTGGAAGAGCTGGTCGACCCCAAAACTGCCCCATCAGATAAACAGCACTTAAAGCTTTCATCTCTGAGAAAGAGGAGAAAATCAAACTGCTTCAGATCTGAAAACATCCACAGGTGTTTCTGTCCATCCTTCCACTGTGAGAAGACGACTCAGCGCTGTGGGTCTGAAAGGATGTGTAGCTGATCAAGAAGAACCTCACTGAGAAAAGGAGACGGACACATCAAACAAAGAAGCTGAACGATGGACTGACCACCCCAGAGTCCAGACCTCAACACCACTGAATGTGTTTGATTACTTCAGAAAATCATCAACCAGCTTCTAAGACCGAACTTTGGAGGTGTGGAAAAATGTCCCTGCAGGATTCTTCCATCTACCCACACAGTGTTTCCTGAGCCACTGGCTGCCACAAAACCCCAACGCATAACAGATCCACCTGAACACTTAACAGCTGACACGGTGTTCCTTTCATCAAATGCTGCTCCTTTTTCTCCAAACATGATTGGTGATTGTGGCCACATAAGTTCACAGCAGCTGTTTCTAAGAAGCCTCTGGATGATTTAGATGTTGTTCAGGCATTGGCAATTGTGATGTAGTCACTGTTAAACCAAAACCCTTGTAACTTAAGAACACCAGCTGTTTTTTACATGAATAGACCAATAGAAATGGCCAAAAAGGCCAAACAAACGGTTTGCTTTGAAACATCATTTTCATTTGAAGTACATCGCCGGCTTTATTTGGTGAAAAAAAAAAATTGATAGAAGGCCGATTAAAAAGTTCAGAACATAAGTTAAATAATAAAAAGTTATCATTTACAGAGATACAAGGTTTTGTTATACAGCAACTAGATATATTGTTGCTATTGGAGCAAAACCTTTCGTATCTTTTGTCATTTTTTGTTTATTTGGCTGCCCTTTACAGTTTGTTACAATTTCATGATGAATGGATCAACAGAAACCATCAGAGTGGTTTGGTGTGAAATGGTTCAGATGTCTTTACAGTGGTGGTGATAGGAACCAGGGGTCGCCATGACTACAACACAAATATAGACATTTTATTTACTATCCAGAACCACCAGTGAACCTACACGAGTCTTCTGAGTTTATATGGAATGTTGATGATGGAAAATAGTGGAAAATCTGAAATAATAAGTTTTCTTTGGGGACTATTTTGCCTCACAGCGCCCTGCATGTATCCCTCCACCATGAATGGAGTTTAAGGCCAAAATCTTCTCAAAACTATCATAAAACAGTGTCTCAGTCATCAGGCAGTGAATTCATAACCATTTCATGTAGGAACTTTCTGTGAGGAGCTTTTAGAGGTGGACGTTTGGTTCCTATCACCACCACTGTGAGCAATTCTGACTCGGTAAGTTTCTCTAGAAAGGAGCGTTTCACACTAAACCACTCTGAACCGCTCTGATTACATCTTAACCATCTGCATTCAATCGATTTCTACTGCTCACCGTCTGCTGCAGGTCAGGGATGACCACCCTGATGACCAGTGAGTTGGAATGGATGTCCTCCATGCGGCTCGGCGGCCTCTCGGCTGTGGCTTTTATGGTCTCGTAGATGGTCTCCTCTTTGGAGCTGTCGGAAGCAGACTCGTCAGAATAATCGGAAAAACTCTGGGCCATCTCATCCTCACTGGACGTTGGGCTCCGGGGCATAGTCAGCCGGCCACACAGATTTAGCTGAGGAAAACAAGACAGGTTTAAATAAAACGATCTGAACAGGTTTATTCAAGATCAAGAAAGAGAGACGACTTAGCAAATATACATAAAAATAAACTATTTTCCCCAAATGTAGCCAATCAGTTAAAGCATATTTGGTGTCTGAAGTTTGCTTCTTCAGTTTTTAGCAATGGAGCTACAAAGGTAACGTAGCTAACAAATTCATAGTATTCCAATGACGTCATACAACAGCGCTGCCACCATGTTGGTAGGCAACTTAAAGTTCACTCATGAATGCAGTGGCGGTTTGTAAGGAGCTAAAGCCATAACTGATCCAGCAGGCAGGAAATCGCAAAGTTCAAAACTTCTTAAAGAGTACTGAATGATACATTTGCATGTTTTATATTTAAGAGATATTTTGTTTGATTTGTTGCTGTAGTGATAACAAACGAAAGCTGAAATCTAAGCGGCTGAGATTTCCCGCTGTGGTATTATTATCGCATCCAAAATTGCATACTAGCTCATTAAACAGTGTGTAAAAGAGTGCAGTAGCGGTGCAGCACTCATTAGTGTAGTAGGTGAAGTATAGAAGTGCTAGATCAGCCAGTGAGACGCGATCAACCGCTGCTCTGCTGTGCTGCTCGTTAGCTGCTCATTAAACACCTCCAGGAGAAAGTTTAAGGTGTTTCCTGATTAAGGAGCATTAATTGAGGTAAATCAATGCATTCATTAAGGTAATCTGATGTTGGCTTCTTATTGGCCAGCTTCTTTTTCGAAAATCATTCTATGTTTACGGCACCTCAGTATAACTGCAGCTACACTGAAGGTGGAACGGAAACCTCAAATAAGAAGCTGGCTAAATTCGGCTATATATCTACATTTGAGTTTATTATTTAAGAGCTTTGGCAGGTTTGGTAGCCACTTTTGTTAGTTTGTGTAAAATCTCATGCATTGGAATGTTCTGAAGTCCATATAGATAGTCCACCAAATGAAGTCCACTAGCTGATCTTCTCCTCGTAGTGTTTTCTACATATCTTTTCATCTTTTTCATGGTCATTCTGGTCTGTGTTGTTGGTGTTTATCCACCTGCAGGGCTGTATCTGCAGTAATGGTGATGAGACGAGCTCCATCAGACCACAGTCAGAGTTACAGCTCACCTACCAACATGGCGACGGGGCTTTCTTCATGATGAAATCCAACGAATACTGGAGTCTGAACTAAAGGCGGGCATTAAGATAGCTGCTATGGTTTTTAGCTCCGCTAACCTACTTTTGTCCATGTTTACAGACAACATACATAACATATTGTGTCATCAACCACATAATCAAGTCTATCAGAGATGCGTTTAGCACCACGTTACGTAGTTTACCACCTATGCTAACTTGTGGGGTATAAGCCACCATTACCGGTCAGCTACATTAGCCTCAGCGCTTAAACTAAAGACACAAACCTCCGACACCCACACATGTCCTAGCTGACATTAGCAACATTTTGGGTCAGATGGGGGGAAACTGTGAAGATTCGATTTTTCACCAGAGTTATTCCTTTAGTAAATCGCTGCTGTAACAACTGACACATTAGCATGATTGTGTAGCACAGCGGTAGAGGCGTAATTCTCCTGCAGCAGATGCGACACACACAGCCTGTCTGAGAGACTGAAGCACATTTTCATTCCAGCCACAGCTCATTCATCTGCGACAGAAAATACAAAAAGGTATGACGAGCCGTCCAGCAGGGTTAAAGTGGCCTTCGCCTGGCGGCTAATGAAGTAGCAAAGGCTACACATGTGTTTCCTGCAGCAGCACCTGAGACTCAATACAGGCCTGTTTCATTCCACTTTGATAGACCAGGTGGAGCCAAATACATATTTCAAAATGTCTTTTCCTCCTTTTATACAGACAGATACATAGACATTACAGAAAAATGGGATTTTGAACCAATTTGTCCAACTGCACTGACCCATCTGTAAATTTCCTACTGTGCTAGGAATAACCTATGGCCACATCACTGACATCACTACAAAACCTGTATGTCCGTAGAGGTGAAGGACAAATCATTACCTACACCTCCCTCCTCAATATTGCCAAGGCTTGTGATATGCAAATGAGCCCTGTGTGGAAGCACAAATTGTTTCTAATAAAGTGGCCAGTGAGTGGAAGCACAAGGTGGTTGTTTCTGATAAAGTGGCCAGTTAGGGGAAGCGCAAGGTGGGTATTTCTAATAAAGTGGTCAGTTGAAGTACAAAGTGGGTGTTTCTAATAAAGTGGCCAATGAGTGGAAGCACACGTAAGTGTTTCTAATAAAGTGGCCATTTAGAGGATGTACAAGAGTCAGGTTTCAAATAAATTGGACAGTGGAAGTGCACAGTTACTAATGCTTTTCTTTAATATTATTTCCATTAATAAATGAATATTATGAGTCTTTCTGACGAATATCTTGTGAAAGCTCACCTCCTCTCCTCCCTCAGGCTTTAAGGCTATTATCAGCCCAGGAGGCAGCGCAGTTTGGGCCGAAGCTGGAGTGATTATGGAGTGATAATGATGGATCATCAGTGGCACTGAGAGGAGTGCGTAATGCTGCTGCTCTGATTAGTGTTACTCATGTTCACGAGTTAATTAATGCAAAGTCAGGCCCTGCTGGTTAGATGTGATATTAGCTCATGAGTCGGTCCCAATTAAATAGACTGTTTTTGTGCCTTTAGGATTAATAAACACCTCTCATAACTTTACATAGCCCTGACTGACACTGTAAGATGTTAACCGTTTTTGTTTTGCATGCACTGCATGTTTGAGTTCACCTTCATGTGGATCAGTAATGTTGACGTCTAGAACCTTTATGTTTTTCTGCTGCAGCCATTGAAAGGTCAACTTGTCTTTGTGTGGAAAGTCCAAATGTGCCCCACACATAGTTTCCAGGCTGATGCATGCAAAAGTTCCACCAATATTGTCTCATAATCTGATGTATGGGGGTTCTCGCTGGTTTCATTTGCCGATTAAACGGCAAGGTGAAACACAGCGCTTTAGTTTAATTTCTTTATTTAATTCCCTTTTCACACAGATTTCAATAAAACTAAAAGTACCCCAAAGTAACAACTCAGACTGCAGAAAAATGTGATTATTGTGTTTTATTATTGTAAATTATTGGAATTAAAGCCTACTGTTAATAGATGCTAGAAGACTATGCTGCTCCTTCGGCACAAACCAGCTTGTCTCTGCCACGCACTGATGGGATCCACACTGTAGTTCCGCACTCAGAGTTTAGAGCATCTTTAGATTTGAAAATAGATTATTTTGCCCAAAATTGAGCAAAAAGCACATAAGATCATTCCTCAGATTATTACGTGTAAACACATTGGAATAATCTGCAGAAAGATCTAAAAGTAGATGCATTAAAACATATATTTAAACATTTAAGTGATCATACAGGATGCGGTAAATGAGATGTGTGGTTGTTTTTCTTGACGGGGGCTTTAATATTAGTCTGAATGGGATTTCCTGTAAAATAAAGGAAAAATAAAATAAATAAACAAGTTTAAACCTTCTCTCATCACACCTGTAACCCTGTAGCAACTAAAGGGGGCCAGACTGAGAGACAGGTCAGGACTGTCCAAAGCCTTAAACTGCAGATGTTCACAGCAGCAGTGAGTACAATGTTGTTCTATGACCCTATGATGCATTTCCAGTGTACCTCTGTAAATGAACAGTACATGTTTACAGGGCATGTAAAGTACTGAGAAACTGTAGAACAGACTCAGTTTATATCACAATACCTACATTTAGAGTTGGTTATTCATTCAGCCTAATGAGAAACTGTAGAACAGACTCAGTTTATATCACAATACCTACATTTAGAGTCGGTTATTCATTCAGCCTAATGAGAAACTGTAGACCAGTTTTCGGCTCAGTAGCCACGTTTACATGCAGCCTAATAACCCGTTAATAATCCGACTAACAGCTCAATCGGAAAAGAATACGTCCATGTTTACACCACAGTCGGAATAGTCTAGTCTGATTGAGGCCATTTGGAATACAGTCTCTATCCGACTGATCAAGGTGGGTAATCCTGTAAACAATCTGTTAAATAGAAGAATAATGTCTGTGTAAACGCCTGTATCTGATTACATTCCCTATCGGAAAGTTTAAGTCCGTTCTGATCATGTTCGTCGCGTCATAGTGAAAGTTTATACCGTTCAACATGGCGGAGCAGAAACTGGTCTGCAGAGGAAACGAAGTTTATGCTCTGGTCTTTAAAAGACGGCGGTGGGACGGACGTCCAGCTTATGTGTCTCAGAACACGACGTCTTCCTCTCGGCCTTCTTTAATAAGGACATGTGAAGGACGTTTTCCTGAGTCTGACATCATTTTAAAGTGATTAAAAACACAAGCGCTGCTCACTGCTGCTCATCTCACTCTGACTGGACTCACGTGATGTTCGCTGTCATGGTAACGTCTACACTAAGCGCTACTCGTAGTGAGCTTGTAGTGAGCATGTAAACGAAGGTTTTCATCAGATTGTTGAGTAGAGTGAGAATAAACACCTCAGTCTGAATCTGTAATCGGATTGTATTCAATCGGATTGGCAAAAACCTTTGCATGTAAACACAGACACTGTAATGAAAATACAGTGTTCACCTAAACAGTGCAGCTACTGCAGATTTAGAAAATATAATAAAACAAACTCGCATGGGTCTCTACTACGCTCAAATAATTATAGAGTTCAGAATGTTTATTGTTATTATTATTATCATCATTATCATTTTTATTTTAATATACCTGAAATCGGGGGGGGCTGCAGCCCCCTCAGCACCCCCACTTCCTGCATCCCTTCCCAGGGCAAAAACCCAGACTCAAAAGGAGAACCCATTCTCTCCTTAGGTGATCAATAAATAACATTAGAAGTCAAAACCGAGAGAAAAAGACTGAGAAATAGTTCTGGTGGACTGACGATGACACAGACTGCTACACTGGAGAACATGAGGACAACTGGTGCTTTCGAATGGGGTACAAAGTAAACGGCAAAGT